ACATGATCTAGATTTGGATGAAATGCACCAGCAGAATTTTTTTTTTTTTTTTTTTTTTTTTTTTTTTTTCCGTGTCCGGCAACGGATTGCAACCCTCAGTGTTGCCCCCGTACCGGACCGGGGACCGGCAACGGGATCGCAACCCTCGGCATTGCTCCTGCGCCTCGCTCAGCCAGCGAGCGGGAACCGGTCTGTATGTGGGATCCGAACCCTCGGGCGGGAGCGCCACCACACTTCCCAAGCGGCGCACTTATCCAGTGTGCCACCGGGCCGGCCCGCACCAGCAGAATTTTTTTAAAAAACTAATACCATAAAATTGCAGACGTGGTAGATTCTCAAATTTCAGAAAGTTCAACCTCCTAGCCACAGCAGGAATTTGCCTAAAACACCCTTAAAATATGGTCATACAAAAATCTGCTTGAACGTAGCAGAGAACTAATGCATTTCTTGATTAAGTCAAAACATAAGTTCTATAAATTACTCCAAGTTCTTGAAACCTACACGACAACCCATTAAGAAAAAAAAGGCTAAAAGACCATAAATATTCTTCTCCCATAAACCTGGGTTCAGGTGGCGGCTCAGCCAAACTCTAAACGAATTAGGTGAATTACTTCAATTCTCCAAACCTCATAAATAGAAAACACTCTAATTTGCCTGTCAAGATTATTTTAAGGATTAAACAACATTTTTGCAGAACCAGGTACATAGTAGCTATCACTACTATTCTCACAGGTTCACAACTTTCTTGTTGATCATTGCTTATGCCCACCATTCAACCATCTTTTACATATTTTTTTTTTAAAAGACCCTTAAGAAACCACAATGACTTCTTTAAATGCCTCCTCTTTATCTCTTTGATAATATTAACAATTTCATTTCTGAACATTCCACATCTATTAAATCATTATCTCTTTAGAATATCATTAAGATATCAGCATCTCAGAAATACAAATCAAGACCACTTTGAGATACCATCTCACTCCAGTTAGGATGGCTAATATCCAAAAAACTGAGAATGATAAGTGCTGGAGAGGTTGCAGAGAAAAAGGAACTCTCATACACTGTTGGTGGGGGCTGCAAAATGATGCAGCCTTTACGTAAAATGGTATGGAGGTTCCTCAAACGATTACATATAGATCTACCATATGACCCAGCTATTCCACTGTTGGGAATATACCAGAGAAATGGATATCATCATGCTGAAGGGATACCTGTACTCCAATGTTTACTGCAGCACTATTTACAATAGCCAAGAGCTGGAACCAGCCCAAAGGTCCATCATCAGATGAGTGGATAAGGAAACTGGGGTATACCTGTACAATGGAGTACTACTCTGCTATAAAAAAGAACAAACTACTAACACTCACAACAACATGGATGAACTTAGAGAAAATTATATTAAGTGAAATAAGTCAGGCACAGAAAGAGAAATATCACATGTTCTCACTTATTTGTGGGAGCTAAAAATAAATAAATAAACACACAAATAAAGGGTGGGGTGGGGAAGAAGACACAACAATCACAAAAATTCCTTGAACTTTTTAAGTCAAGTGAACAGATATAATGTGGGGGGGAGGAGAAGGGGTGGAGAGGAATGGTAAAGGGGCATGAAAATCAACTACAATGTATATTGAGAAGTAAAATAAAATTTAAAAAAAGATAGTAGGTAATAATCTTGGATAAACAAAGCATTGATCTACTAAATTACATTTAAAATAAATATTAATTCATTTTGATATCTGCAGCACTTAACTTATTAAGCCTCTATCTTGTTCCAGGCTAAACTCTGGATAAACAAAGCATTGATCTACTAAATTACATTTAAAATAAATATCAATTCATTTTGATATCTGCAGCACTTAACTTATTAAGCCTCTATCTTGTTCCAGGCTAAACTACTTCTAAGAGAAAAAAAAAATACTACCAAGAAGCTCATAAAAAAAAAAAAAAAATCCCAGCACTATAAACAGCAATGCTATTCTTTCTTACAACAAATTATTATTGTGTAAGAACGCATGTGTTCATGAAGGAGGGAGGCTGTTTCTAAATATAAAAAGTATACCACTCACTGTAGAAGGGATGTTGGCAAACATTCTTAAAGGGTGAGAGAGTGAATATTTTATGCTGTTTTACTGCAAAGGTAGTTACAGACAATACATAAATGAATGAGCATGACCATGTTTCAATAAAACTTTATGTACATATACTAAGTGCCCAGCCTTGAGTCAGTTTGCAAAACCCCTGCTACAGATACTTGGAAAAAAATTTTTTAAATCACAAAGAAGAAAAGAAAGATCACCCATAATTCCACAACCTAGAGAAAAACTTGTTAACGTTTTGAGGGGGAATATACTTTAAGTATTTTTCTGTATATGTATGTTTGTGTGTATTCAGTAGAGTATCAACAGAAAACGTGGTATCATACTTTACTATAAACAGCCATGTCATTAATATTTTCTACTAGTTTTAATAGCTGAATATTAATATATGAATGCATGAGTATATCAATTTATCTAAATAATATGTCAGACATTTGGGTTACTTCCAATTTCCAAGTACCCTGACTACTATCATTTATAAAAACTGCTAATTTATAAAAGATTTTACATTTCATTGTTGTTCATGTTTTTAAGTTTCTTGGTTGAATAATACTAAATGGCCAA